CACTCGTCAGCTAGGCGTACCTGTACCCTTGAAGGAACTCATGTCCCTTCTGGGATTCGAACCTACGTCACCCAGTGAGAGTTGCAGTCAGAGACGTTACCACTGAGCTATTCGGGCTCGCGACTGACCTCCTGTAGAACTGTAGTGGGTAATTTAATTAGACACTAGTAACTAGTATAACGTGTCTAATGTGCACCGTGATGGCGAGTTACCTAGGATGGTGGTCACATTGCAAAACCTGACTGATAGGATTCACTCCGCGCCAAAGAAAGGACTAGACATATCACACTAGTTACTGGTGTCCAATCAAATTACGTTTATATGGTATTCTGTTGGTGATGCAGTATTGAACTGTGTGAATAATATTCAGATGTAAACAGTAACAAATACAGTGATTCTTATTGCGAGCATAGTACTCTTTTGGAACCCATTATCTGCACCACACCATCGCAGCTTGTGTAGACCCAGTTATATCGGTAGTTTCACTAGGGATTTGTCTAAAAGGCTACAAGAAAACTACCCTCCATTGTTATGGATGGCCATAAGTGGGGCTATAACAGTCTCATTAATCGAACATTCGGTCAATACTGGTCAACTTATTTCTACAGCCTCTTGCTTTAAAGGTATCTACAAGGTAAAAAATAAACTGCCCAAAATCATTACGTTTCCAACTCATGTGTACTGCAAAAGCTTTCGCCACCAAAACAGAAGCGGTAGTCCTTTGTGTTCAGAAAACGTTTGTTCGACTACTTCAACCCTCTTGGTCTTAACCCATTTATGCTAAAGTATGATAAACCCCATTATAATAGAGGTTTTTGTATTTCCCAATGAATGAAAAACAAAACGATATTGTTTTTACTGACGTTTCGCTATTTAATGCTAATAGCTTTCTCAAAGTATTATTAAACCGGAATTTACAAAATCTCAGCATATATATAACAAATAGTTAGGGGGTAAGAAAAATATAGGCTTAGTTCAACTTAAAAGGACATATTGAAAGTCAAAATAACAATGAAGATCGTTCAAACCAAATATCAAACGTAATAGTATATCTGTTATTATATCAAAATAAAGTTTACTAACTTGATCATCGTTCGTCAGTCTGGGTCGTTTTTTGTTGTCAAGTTAGCGAACTGGTAAAGATAACAAAATCAAGTGTAGATTGTTGGATTTTGTCAGTGTGTAGAATTATGAAAGTAGTGTGTGTTTACATAGTGAACTTGCTCATCACATTTGCGTTGATTTTGCTACTTCATGGGGGAGGGTGTTGTAGCCAGGTCAGATTCTGTTTTAGTCCATCATTCCTATTCAGGCAATTTGGATTCCACTTGATATGAAGTGCTTCTGATATTAGACGTTCTTTGTGGTTTCTGAAGTTTTTCTGGATTATTTCAATATTGTCAAAATCAATTTTGTGGCCTGATTCTATAGCATGTAGACCTATGGCTGATGATTTTTGAAGTTTTTCTAGTTCAATTGGATTTCTTGGTGGTCGAAGAGATGCTCTACGGTGTTCATTTCTTCTGATTTTGATTTCTCGAGATGTTTGTCCGATGTAGATCGCATCACATTCCGAGCATTTTATTTTATAGACACAATTAGATAGAGAATCTTTAGGGATTTGGTCTTTTATATGGACAAGGTTGTTTTGAAGTGTGTCCGATGTTTTGAAGAAAACTCTAATGTCGAGTTGATTAAGTACTCTTCTGATATCGTCTGATGTCTCTGCTCTATATGGAATGACGACTGTTGAAGTCCATGTTTTCGGAATGCATTTTCGGCCATACTTAATGTTTGTGTTGATTTTGTTGATGAAGTTCGTTGGGTAGTTGTTTTGCTTGAGAGTTTTAGTGATGTTTGAAATTTCTTCTTCTTTTTCTTGCTCATCTGTTATCAGGGAGTGTGCTCGTCTAAGAAGACTTGAAACAACTGAAATCTTTGCGCTGATGGGGTGTGATGATTTGAAGTCTAAATATTTATTGGAGTGGGTTTTCTTCCTGAATATGGATATACTAAAATGTCCGTTTTCCTTTCTCTTAACTAGGCAGTCTAGAAATGGAAGTTCACCGATGTCTGATTCTGCTTCCGAAGTGAACTGGATTTTGGGAGATACACAGTTTATTTTCTCCAGGAATGAATTGTGTAGATCTCGTTTTAGTACTACAAAAGTATCATCCACATATCTTAACCATATTTTAGGAGTGAGTATGCTTGAAAAGATATTATTTTCGAATTTATTCATGTAAAGATCGGCGACTATTGGGGAGACTGGTGAACCCATAGCAACACCATTTGTCTGTCTATATAAACTCCCTTTAAATGTAAAATAATTACTTTCTAGACAGAATTTTAAGCTCTTAATTATTTCACTGGTGTCCAGTGGACATCTTTGTGATAGTTTTGTATCTGATTCTAGTAGACTGGAAATGATGTCAAGACTTTCGGTAATAGGGATGCTAGTATATAGTGAGTTAATATCATAGCTTACCATAATGTCTTCTTTATCAATTTCTCGGTGTTCTATTTGGGATTTGAAATCATATGAATTTTTTACAATATTTTGAGTGTCCTTTTGTAGTGGTTGTAGTATCGAGAGTAAGTATTTCGAAAGGTTGTATCATATCTATCATATACCCAATGCCCAAATTTTTTCAAACCGTTAAAAGTGAACTTGGTTTGGACATATATAATATGATAAACCCCATTCATACTTCGTCCCGATTTATCTTTTATTTTTTTTTTATTCGAAATGTATATCCTTCCCTTATAATGTCAGTTACTAATAATTACACATTCAACGATTTCCGGTATTATCTAAGTTATCATTCTTATTTTTACTGAATGCAGTATAATTTCAGCATAATTATTACATCATTAAGTAATGTTTTACTTGCCTACTAGTCCCATCATCTCCACACACACACACACTTTCTTTGAAATCGATCCATTTTGATGAATTATTTTATGACGTATGACTGATGTTATAGAGAATGAAAGCAAAATATTGATGGATTATTATTATTATTGTTTCCTTTTGTTCCTAGAGGAACATAAGACTTTAGTCCCACGTCTCCACTGCGTTCAATTCTCCACTAACGTTTTCACCTAGCTTCATGTCTTCCCACATGGTTTCATCTCCTCTTCTAAAGACCTTTCACATGTCAACCTCGCACTGACGACCAACTAACTCGCCACCTCCCATTTGGGTTCCACGCTAAAGATGGCCTGACGTGTGATGCATGTCACTTGATGGTTTGTTTTCTCAGAGTATGCCAAATCCACCTCCATTTCTCATTGTATATTTGTTGCATAACTGGTTCCTGCTAGTATAAGAATAAAACTTCTGCACTGTGATAGAGTATAATTCCATTATGGGTAAAATCTATTTTGATAAAGTCTCACAGTGTTATACAGTAATATATACTGATGACGTTTGAAGAACAATTTATTGCTCATAATTATATCAAGACCTTGACATGATTATAAGGAGCAATAAATTGTTCTTCAAATGTCATCAGTACATATTACTGTATAACACTGTGAGACTTTATGAAAAAATTTTTTATCCATCATGGTTCCTGCTTGGTAGGTTTGTTCATCACCAGAGATCCCTGTTGCTGATCTTTTCTGGCTGGCCACCTGATTTTGAGTGTTGAGCGAAGATAGCTGTTCATGAAGGTCTAAATTTTGTTCGAAGTGCCCTACGTGACGCGCTGGCCAAGTCTCCGATCTGTATAGTAAGTATCACTGACTTCACATTGGAGTTGAAAATCCTGATCTTATTATCCTTTACACGCTGAGTGCTGTTGATCTGCATACACACTTGAGAGTAATTAAAGCTTACCTTGCTTTCAGAATCCGCGCTTTCATATCCTCCCTCATCAATTCCATCTGCCTGTAGTTGAAACGATACTTCCAAGGTAGGTGGGTGATGAAGTCGCTTCTTTCGGATTTCTCCCATTTATGCTGACTATTGTCTGTTGCTGTTGTTGTTGCCATTGCTGCTGACCAGTAATCTTCATCGCCTCTGTTTTCTCTATGTTCACCTGAAGTCTTTCTTTGATGTTTCATCCATTGCCAACTTGTTGCTTTTCACTTGCATATCTTCCAATTTGTGGGAACCCAGACATATATCATCGGCGAAGTGCAGATCCTTCAAGATTTTTGTGTAGGTCCATTTAATGCCTGTTTCCTCGTTTCTCGCTCTCTGTCTGTCACATTATCCGGTCTACCGCAATCACAAAATCATTGTAGATAGTAGGCAGCCAGCCAGCTTGTCTTCCACCCATCTTCACTTCGAAGGATTCCCTGACTTTTCCATAATGGATTACTTGGCATGCAGCATTTTTGTACAACTGTTGAATGCAGTGTACAATTGTTGCATTGATGGATACTCTTGTACAAAACTGATATCCACCAAACAATTTGGTCTTATAACCTTCATTCTACCCTGCACCTAAAAAAGATTTCTTCATCTAACTACCACGCAATGGGGGAATAAATAATAGGATTTTAAGAAAGGGTTTAAACTCGGTCATCCGTAGGACCTATTAGGCAGCCTAGCTTGTAATCATTCAAAAAGTCTAAAACACGCTACACTACAAACCTGAAAAGTGCACAGTGATTATGATTAGAAAGACAGATAAAACCTGGAAAAACAATAGATGCAGGTGGCAGACTACTAACTTCGTCTATAACCAAACACCTAATTGATTTGGATCGTAAGACTGATGTTAACATAGCTCTTAAGGTCAGCTATAAGAGGGATCAAGGGCGCTTACTAAAATATGCTGAAGTTATAGCTATTAATAAACTTAGCCCCCCCCCTGCATGTTGTAAAACAAATTTAACATTACTCTAAACCTATTAATATTACTTAAACCTATTTAAAGGTCTTGCTACTTATTCCAATTCAAGTAATATGTGCTTATATGCCGCTATTTTGCTTACCACCAATTTTATTACTGAATAAATAATTTTCTTTACTTTTTTTCCATTAGTTTCGATGCAGGCGCTAATGATGGATGTCAATTTCGATATGAAGAGCATCGAGGCAGTAATCTGGTACTACAACATATCACTGGACGACGTGGATCATTTTTGTATAGGCAAGACACTAATTCAGGTCATTCACACTACAGTTCAAGGCATGAATCAATCACAGGGGATGAATTGAGTAGACAGTAAGTGTTTTTGAATTAAATAGATTAATATTCATATTTCTAAAGTGTAATTCATTCAGATTTTCTCTAAAAATTAGACTAGGGTGAAAAGATAGTGCTCAGCTCACCCTTACAGTAATCACCATGAGAAGATCAATGTTAAACTAAGGTGATGCATGTCATGCATATGATAAAGCATAAACTGCCATTTTCTCTGAGGCGAAAATAGGGCTGATAATAAATTCTAGTCAGGTTACACCTTTACGTTTTGTCATTCCAAAAAATGATCTTCGCTTAATGTTTTCCTAGGTACTTTGTGGGATGCTATTTCAGCGATTTGTGGGCGATTATATGAAACATTCAGAAGAAAATCACTTTTCAGGCATCATGTTTTAAGGACGCAACTGACCTTAAAGGAGATTTCATGGAGAAGTAAAGTTTCGGAATCCAGGGTTCGCTGAACAGCCGTTTCGTCCCAGTTTAGGACTCTTCAGCACCGAATACATGTGGTGTCAAAACCTCTATCTTTAGACTGCATGGCGACCCAGTTGACAAACCAACTGCCTCTTAAACTGAAAGTCCTGTCTTCGATAACTAATGAGGTCATAGGTCCCTCTGCTGATGAATCCAAAAAACTAGGACCAATTAACCATCTGGTGCTCCGTAGTTTCTATTAGCTCACTAATTGATGTCTGTTTCCAAAAAACACACCTGCTTAGACAACTCATCATTCATGCCTTTAGCAAAGCAGTTTCGATGCTCCGCATAACACCAGTTTTACCGTATTTATTATCTGTGAATTAGGCTTCACCTTTCTGCTGTGTTTGAGTTTTAGTCGTATACTGATTCATTTCACTTGTTCCCATAGTGAACTACTAATTAGTTAACGATCGGAAGTTTTCAAAAAAGGTTTTAAAGACAGAGAATTTATAAGAAGACATTTCACAGTACAATGAACATTTATTCGAATACAACTATAATCATGGTTGAGAAGTCTACAGAAACCAAAGTTAAGAATGTAAAAAGCGACGCCTGTAACCTCACAAAACAGCAACTTTTAGGGTAAAAGAAACATAATTGTCACTGGATTTACTAGTATTGTTTTGTCACATTATCATAACTGAAATAACTCTAAGGCCTCTTTGAGTCTCAGTGACAGGATCTTCACATGTCTTTACTGAATCTGACCTTTTCACTTTCAAGGTTATTAACGAATACTTAAAGCATCTTTTTTGTAATATGCAAATCATTGAAGTTAGTATCCGTGTGTGTCTAACTTGTAATTTTCATGAATGGTAACTACAGATCTTCTGTGAAGGATTTGTGCTGTTATATGAGTTGACGGTGACTAGCAGTGGAGTCTCCAACATGTACGTTTTGCTCTGTTTGGGACTAGTCAATTAAGTGTATCTACAGTCTTAATGAGTGATGATATTTCCGGTGAAATTCAAACAGTGCACCCATCGTAACGATAAGAAAACAATCATTTTGATCGAAATACAGGGACTTATAGCTCCTAAATATCCCGATGGAGGCATAAAGTCTGTGATAATATCAAACAGAAATAACACATACAAAAATACAAAATCACCTAAACAGCGACCTAAGGAAGCTTTACTGTTCAAGAACTTCAAGAACCGTACAAATGTAGGAAGTAACTGAGAATCAAATAGAAGGTTCCCTACAAGGTAGGTTCAAAATTCTGTTGGCAAGAATCAAACGCACTAAACAATTTGCGCTAACTGTTCAATTTTTAAATCCCCCAGCATAATCTTGAACTCATTCAAACAAAATTGCAATTGCCAAACAATACGTTATCCTCAACAGTCCATCAGCGTACAACAGTCAAGTGAGACTTTATGGATAGGCATCAACCACGATAAACCACACCATAAATGTTGACTAAATCAAAGGAAGACATATTAACGTCGGCGTAATGGTACACTGGTCAAGTTAAAGAGGGTAAAAACCACACAATTAGGTGAAAAAATATCCAAATAAGCAACAGTATTTTAAATAGATTTTTCAGGAGCGATTTCTTAATCACTTACTTCACTAAACCTATAACAGTTTTGGTTTGGTGTGAATAATCAACAGGAAATCTACATCCAATAAAACCGAGACTTCTGTTATTATAAATATTCCTGAAAATCCTCCAGTTTGCAATTAATAAGCTCAGTGGAGTGTTTGAACTACGAAAATTTCGTAAAGTTTCAGGAGTTCATTTGTAGGGATTAAATTTGCTTTATAGAGTTTAAACGTGGATGGATGTTGGTCAGAGAACCATCGGAAACCAGAAGGAAGTAGTGGACAGCTGTTTCATTCAAGTTTTGGAACCATCGGTAGTACTCATTAGAATCAAGAATTGGTAGAAGTTAGAATTCATGGCCTGGTCATTGAATCGAATCCCATTGGCTGAATAGTAGACAACGTGGTCTTCTAATGGGAATGTCTTGGATTCGAACTCCAGAGGGTGCGTACTGCCGTTGGTTCCCAAACTAGGATGAAACAGTTGTCCAATACACATAACTGATATCAATCCGTTGTCAAACCCGGAATTCCAAGAATGGTTGATTAAAAAAAGTTGAACTGACAGTAGGCTCTTTAATGACTACAGGCTTCTCGCAGCATTATCAGGATTTTCACTGAAGTGCGTATTTTTAACTGCATTTATCTATTCATTTATTGTAAGACGTAATTTAAAACACTTAACCGTTCTATATGTTTCCATTGAAAAGACCCAACATTATGCTTTTTATCACTTATACACTTACTACTGAAAATTAAAAATAGTAGCACAGAATCGTAGACATAATTAATTGAACAAATGAAATTATTTTAGCTGCCTTTTAAAAAAATCTATCCATTAACAATTATTCGTCCAAAGAGAAATGAATAATCAGGATCTGAAGTCTGTAAGACTTAATCTCACAACACTGGTTCTTTTGATTGTGGTTTGAGCAAAGGATATATCTACAGCATTAAAAAGCTCATATATTTTTCGACAAAACAAAAAGAAGACGTAGTTTATCTGTAACGTTTATGTATTTGATATGATTATGAGCAATAAATTGTGTTCGAAACGTCATCAGTAAACATTACTGTATAACACTGTGAAACTTTATCAAAACAAATTTTACGCACTAATAGAATTATAATCTACCACAGTGCACATGTTTTATTCTTATATCAATGATACATTTGCACAACACATTTCAGACATTCTGATCACACACGTGCATGGGATACACAGTTATATAGAAGGCAAGAAGATGTAAATTGTTGCAATACAGCTCAGGTTGTGTACAGGCCATGGTCACAAGTAATGCATAGGGAGATGACTCCAAGGTGTTGGTAAGAAAGAAAGAAAAAATAAAGAAAGGAGGGGTTGAAAATATCATTAAGTAAATCGGACAATGGTTCTAGATTGGATTACCAAGTCATTTTCAAAGCAATTACAAATAATTTTTTGGATATAAAAGATAGTTTTAACCCTTTTTATGTCCAAGGCTTCAATGGATTTAAGTATGTAACCCAACCTTGTTTTATATAAATGGGTTTAATGACATTATTGAAATCAACCTTATGATACGTCTCTATGATGTGCTTCGCAATTAATGATGTTAGACATCTATTTCTAAAACCAGTTATAACCGGCAGTTTTTTCTGTTGCTGCAGCCATTTTTGGAAATGTTCTGTAACCCTAACCTACAGAGACTAATTAGTCCGCTCTATATGCATGTATACACATACATTATTAATTTATTATTTTTACTGTTCCCTCGGGTTCACAGTGAAACATAAGGCTTCGACAACAGACCTCCACTTTCTTCTATTTTCCGCTGTCCTCTTCACCTGGATCCATGATTGCTCATAATCTCTTATCTTCTACTCTCCGCCATACGATCTACTCCATGCCACCCTAGGATGACCCACTCCTAACTTCTCATTTGGATTCCACTCGAGAGATGAACTGCACTGTGCACAATGTCATTCGACGGCATCCTCAACGCATGTCCGATCCATCTCCATTTTATCCTACATAATTTGTCCGGCAATCTGCTCTTGGTTGGCTTGTTCAGCTGCGGAGTTTCTCGCTACTACTTCTTTCTGATCATTTGATCTCCAGTATGCAGCCAGAGAAGACAGCTGTTGATGAAAGTCTGCAACCTGTCGGAGATCCTTTCCGTTACACGTAGTGCAAGTTTCTGACCCGTATAGAAGTACTGACTTGACACTGATGTTGAAAATCCAAATCCTGTTCTTTATTCTGGCCAATTGACAGCAGAAGATTTCCAAACTGGTTTCAGGTTGATAAAGGTTTCTCTTGCCTTTCCGATTCTGGCTGGACTCGACATCTTCATCCGTTTCGCCTGTAGTTAAAACGGTGCTTCTCAGGTAAGTGAAGTAAGGAGGTGTCCTCTGTTTAATAGCTCCCGTTGATGGTGACTGATGCTGGTTGCTGTTGTTGTTGTAGCGGTTCGTTGGTTATCTCCGTCACCTCTAGTTCACACATACATGTAAAGTAGTAAAGACAATGGGATTGGACAATCTTGTTCGCTCGCCATGAAAGTTTATTTCACGACTTTTCTTGAGTAACAAAATGCCTTAATATTACATAAGTTTTTATAAATGTAAATTCAAAATGTACTCTGACTCAAAAGGTATGAATACGAGATAGTAAGTGGCCAAGCAAGCAGAATCTATTGACATATAATATGATGGAAAGAAAGTTCAAGACAAGGCTGTGGAAGTGAAAAGTTCTGGGAACTAAAATGAATTAAATTGAAAGCTTAATCAGGGATTCATCCTGACGAACAAAATCGAAATTACGTAACAGCTGTGATGCGACACAAACAGGAAAACATACATTTATGTTTTCATCCCCGCTGTATCGTCGTAACTCTCTAACTCTTGATCATACGATGCATAAATAAATCGTGGTCTTTCAATAATTAACCAACTTGTGTACCTATGTTGCGATGTTCTTTAAGTTGGCAAAATTTTAAAGTTAGGCTGCA